TTTAAAGATTTATTATCTATGCTACAAACATTTATATTTTTTACATAATTCTGACATAAATCTCTCAAGAAAAGTATTTCAAATACACGTATTATTTATATTATACACTTTTTAGACACTTCCTTTCTAGAACGTTAAAAAATTCTTAAAGTGCCAAATTAAACGAAACAAGAGAAATAAATTAAATGATCAGGATACTTGTTTTTCAAAACTGTTCAAATTCCTATGTATTTTTTTTTTTTTTTTTTTCTAAATATTATCTCATCTCTTTTCTTTTTCTTCGATGAGATTACATATTTCTTTTAAAAAGAAGATTTTAAATCGAAATAATTAGATTAGATTCGCGTGTTATTTCAAAAAAAAAAATAAATAAATCAAATTATCAACTTAATAAAAAGAAAAAGATCACGATTGAGAAAAAATTGTATGATGCATTTTTCGAACGTATCTCAATTTCGTTGTTATTTGTTTTTTTTCGCAGTTAACTTCGATCTCTAATCCCATTATAACGCGTTCCGATGTAACAAAGAAATTCGATATTTGTCTCTTTCGCGTTGCATAAGTATTGGCGGAATTGAATCCAGATGCGCGTTGATTATATCTGGTGATGATTCCGATCTTTTATTCACGTAAATTCGCTCATCACATTCGCTCGCAATACTAAGAAATGTTTTCCAACGTTCGGATAAATAATCCTTGAAAATCGAAGAAATATGCTAAATTAAGGCTTTTATCTCAATGTAATATCAAATTATACGAAAATAATAATGGATAATCTAGAAAAATGTTTTTATCTTGCTTATTTTTACAACAAAAGTTAATTCTTAAGAGATATTTTGATTCGAATTTTGAAAAATTTTTAACTTCACGCTCACTTAATCGAATATAAAAAAAAAAATTGATCTTTTCTTGGCAACTTAAAAGTATTCATCACCATTCTTCGATTACACATTGCGATCATAACAACGGAAGATATATTTACACCGATTAGAGGGCAAGAATTAATGAAAATTTTGTTCTACAACTATCGTTATATCGCGTAAATCGATCCTGGATGGAGGAATAAAAGGCGTTCGGTTGCCGCCGCCTCTGTTTACGCGTCGATACACGACACGTTGACTTTGGAATTTCTGGTAGAATTCCATCAATGGAAATCGATATTCATAAGCGACGGCTCGTGTCAGTTCGCGTTAACACTCGATGAAAGCGATTCGATTCCATCCCCCTCCAATTATCAACTGGCTAATTTATCGATTGTGCAACTTTGATTGTTATTATTATACAATTGTTAAATAGCGTGAATCATTTTTCAATTAAACATTCAAGTGTTGTGGGAATAATAATAGAATATTTTGTTGTTATTTTTAAACAAATGGGATATTGCGTATGTAAATAACGCCGAAAAAGTAATTCAATTTCTCTTCGTCGTTCGAAAGTGATCGATAGATAGATCGAAAGGATTTGTTCCTAAAAGCGAATAAACTTCATTTTTCTCGATCAATCCTATGAATCACTGTAATACCACTTCCAGCTCTCCAATGAAAGTCGAAATTGGATCGGTGTAAAGGGGCTTTTGCTCCCCTCGAAGCGAGCTTTCATTACTCGATTCTCTTGTCTTCCAAATTTCGGCGATTCGATTTCCTATCTCGTCGAATCAGGGTTGGGGAAAATAGATTTTTGAAATGGACGAATAAAAATAATAAGTTTCGAACGGGGGGATTTTATTACAAATAAATTTGAATTAATAATTATTTTCATATATATATATATATATATATATGTTGTATATAAAATATAAAATATAAAAAATCCAATCTATTTTCATTTCAATGCTTTTACATCGAGTGTAATTTCACCGATTTGAGAATTGAACGAAATGAAATAGATTATGAAAATACTTCGATTTTCTGTAGAATAAACAAATAATTTTTAATTTTTTAAAAATCTGATAAATAAAAAGAAAAATCAAAAATAATCGTATATAAAAATCGCATTATCATTTCACTACTTGGCTGTTAATGGGTTAAGTCACGACTTGCACATTGCTCATGGATGCCGCTTACCACTTACGCAAGGCCGGAAGCCGTAAATTCGATTACAAGACCGGTGTCAATCGTGGCCGCAGTATGATAAAGGTCGATTACGCGGCAACGTCCCACGAAAAAGGTGGCTAGCTTTTATGGGAGTATGTTGCTGCATATCGCTTTGCCGAAGAAAGATCCATTCAATGGTGGCAACTCCTGCAACCGTGAAGGTGATTATTCTATTAATTCTTCTTTCGCATTCGTTTCAAACAAAGTTGTTTACTCGTGTGTTTAACGCCGCTTCCTCTATTTTACCAATCAATTCGATTTTATTCGTCTTTCTGTTTCCTATCGTTTAAATAGAATTTCCATTCTATCGATTCGATATTCGTTCCAATTTCACGTAAGAAAGATAAAATTTTAAACGAAAGCAAGGAAATTGAACAATTTAACCTTGTTTTTTGTATTTTATGTGTGCGCGGTGTTTATTCGTTATTTGCTCGAGCTTTTCTTCCAGATACGGGATATTCATCCCCACCATCTATTGGGAAGGAGAGAACTCCTCGTGAATCCAGTGAAGCGAGTAATTTCGTACCAATAAAGATAAAAATTTCTCTAAACTCTTAGGCTCTTTATCTCTCTTCGCTAGCTATTATATTTCTCTACGTTCCTTCGTCGACGGAAAAATAAAGTGAGAGTTAGAGCAACTTTTTAGTAACTATACACTGCTCGAACTAACACACTGTGAGCTTATAACGAATAAATAATATAGTAATCTTGAATATTTTTACGTAAAAATTTTGTAATATTAATATACGAATGTTACTCTTTTTATACTTTCTAATTGTTGTGTAATTATTATTTGGTATATCATAATAATATACTTTAACATATAAATCGAATAAAATGATATATTCGTCATTCTTGCTGTGTAATGACTCACGATGGATATATATATATATATATACATATATAATAATCACTGATAAAGATGTTGAAAAATAATTCTTTTCTTTTCATATTGAATTCATCACTGATTATAAAAAGTAGATAAAAATAGACTTAATTTTTCTTAAAAATATTGATATATTCATTATGTCTTCATTATCTTTCTTTATCTTCTTTGTATAATCTTGACTAATTTCCTGGTGTTATATCGGTTTATTATCTAGATATTAAAAACGTTTTTTTTTTTTCATTTTCAATCTTTTTTATTCTACCTCGTTTTTCTATGAAATTCTAATCTTCGATATTCTCTTTAAATTTTAATTCGATCAGTGTTTTTATTTTAAACTTTATCGTATTATTTCCACTTAATGCTAAAATTTTCTAATTCATTAAAAAAAAAAATTAAAATTGAGGTTCACGATCAAAAAGAATCTCTTTATTAAACGATAATTTATATTTTATTTTATTATTTTTTGAAAATACATATTTTTCTTTAAATATTTTGTTTTAATGTTATTAATGGTTAATAATTTGTAACAAATATAAAATTTTAATAGAGAAACTATTTCTATTTATACATAATAACGCGTTTTAAACTGACTCATTGTCAATCTGTCGGCTGCTCAAGGTTTAAAAAAAATACTTACCTATTATTACTATTATTGATTTCAATAAACTTCGATCTTTTATAATTTTTTTTTTTTCTTTAATAAAATCGAGCAATTTCATAAATCACGTAATAATAACACTAATAATCTATAAACATTATCTAATAATATCATGATATATCTAGTAATATAATTAAAAGAAATATTTTTTGGTATTTTATATACGATATATATGGAAACTTTTATTTATTATATATTGTTTATTTATAAAAATTTAATAAAAAATTGGAAATATTGTATCATAGGGATGAGCAAGGAAACAAGTTATAAAAGTAGTATAAAACTATTGTTGTAACAATGGTGGGACAAAATACAAAAGATTGTTAAGAAGGCCAGGTCGATAAATAAGAACACGGATCATCGGAGAGATGTTATTTTTAACAGCTGGCGGAGCGAGGTCTTTTATACTTCTTGTAAGAAATGGGAAATATAAGAAGCAAGGATATAAGAAAAGGAAATAGAAAAGAAAAGGGGGTTGTGTGCCAGGCGAGATTAGTTGTGTAGTCGAGAATTATATTAACGGATACGTTGAGAAATCGAACGAATTAATGCATGGAATTACATTGATCGCATTAATCTTTCGTCGAATCAACGAAATATAGAGATCGAGAAACAATGAGAAATAATTCAATTAGTAAATGACAGGTCAACGAGCTCTTAAATCGAGGCATATTAACGCTCAGGCTTATTTATGAATATCTATATCGATCGTACATATTTTTACGCTATTCTTACTTTTAAAAAGTAATCTTAGAAGGAAAATATACACGGTTTAATAAAGTGTAATTAAGATGAAATTCTACTTCGAATCTAGTTAAATCGTGAAAACGATTTTCGTATTTTAGATTGCATTATATTCTTTTGTATTTAAAATTTTATATACATCTATGAAATAATAAATAGCACCGTATCGTATTTATTATTATTATATTTTATTTCAGAAAAATATGAAAATTGTAACATTTTTATTAATAACAGTTAGAAAAATTGTACGTTGGTATTGTTCAACCGAAAGTTTATCTCGTTGGATAGTATTTCAGTTAACCGTCGAGCATAGCATGTCGCATTAATCGCTTGACTGGTTCCAAAGGAAGATAGCGCCTAGTAGTAGGGATAAAATTTTCATTTATTCTGGACGATACTGTGTTGTATCACTTTCATAAACCTATTTTCGAATATTCATCGGTTTATTCGTTAACAATTGGTAAATTTTAATCTTGTCAACAACCGAGCTTGCATCATCGAGAATCTGAACCCATCAGCAAACCTGACCTATTGAAACTCGATAATGGCGCCCTATCGATTCCACCTCGAAGAGAAATTGAATTCGCTTTGGTATTCGATTATTGAAATACAGTAGTGTTTTCGCTTAAATTCTAGTGTAGCGCGTTGTAATTCTTTCGAAATAGGTGGCGATTTTGTTTCAAAAATACACCCGAGCTCGTAACTCGAGCTCCTTAAGTAAGGTTAATAAGAATAACGGAAAGAAGCGAGAAAAGAAATTACACGCGAAAAATTGCAAAAGTCTTTATTTTATTCTTTTTTCAAATTACTAGTGAAAAGTTTTTTATTCTCATTAATATTACCGTAAAATTGAATTTAATCAATTACTTTTTAATAATTTTCTATAATTTTCACTTTTAATCTTCTTCGCCACTTCGCAAATTCCTTTCGATTCGATTCGATTCGAAAAAATAAATCCATGAAATCTCATTTTCATCCAGCTATTTCGCTTGGAATTTAATTAAAAATACCGCAAAGTCAAACTTTTGATCGATTCAATTTTAACCTAACCTCTTCGCCACGTAAATTCCTTTTAAGCTCGTTCGAAAAGTGTCCAAGCTTCGAAATTTTTTGCCTTCTATAATAATAAAAGTATAAATATAAAACGATAATTCTCCTTTTTCGAAAACAAACACAGCTTCTGTGCCACAAATAACAAACGTGGCATCGATTTTCACAGCGGAGCTTCTCTCTTCGCGTATAGACAGGTCAAAGAAGAGGGAGACGGAGCGATGCGAGTTTGTAGGTTCAGGTTCAAGGTCGCAAGAGCAGGAAGCGAAATATGTGTGCGTGCAAACGTGTGTATACCGGATATAGCGAGTAGTGGACGAGGAGGAAACCCGGTCGATGGTGAAAAACCTCTCTTCTCTTCCTTCCACTTTTCCGAGGAGTGATGCAGCGCCACCTCGGCCACCTGCCATGCCAACCATCCCTCTCCTGGCGCCACCAATCCCCCCGCCACGATTTCTGTCGTCTTGCCTTCTTCGTTCCCGACTCTCGTCGCGATTCGAACAATTTTAAGTCCGTAGACAGGCACTTGACAGCCATGCGCGCTTTCCGCTTTGTTATACGGCTTCGTTCGCTTCAACGGCATTTAATAAAGAGTGTAACACTGATCTATAATGATTTTTTTTTTTTTTTTTTTTTTTGAAATCTTAAAAAAAAGAATATCTATATTTGATATTCGTTTATAAATTCCTGTTATAAATATTCTGTATTTTCACATTTGAATAATATGATAAAACTTGATATTATTGGATATGAAAATATACTAATATTCAATTAATTATGAAAAAATTAGATGGAAAATTTATAAAAATCATGTAATCATATATATATATATATGTTAGAATAATAAAATGTTTTATCCTCATAACAATCGTGGTGTAGGAACGAGCATCGTAAGTTTCTAATAATTACGTTCCCAGTTCGAATCCTAACATATTTTTTTAAAATTTTTTTTCACAAAAACAATCACATGTTAATTATTGTGTACGTATTACGTATTATTTATTTCTTGATTTCAATTTTTTATTTTTAATTTTTATTTTATATCGATCTTTAAATTTTTAAATGTCTATTAAAATCTTTTATATGACTTTTAGAAAAAAATTTACTGGCTAATAGCTAATTTTTTTGTAACTGTTTAAATGTATGTAATTCATTTTGTCGGATGTATGAGCATTATTAAGATTTAAATGTGAATCGATAAAATTGATTTATTATTTAATTCTTTCTTTCTGTCATTCAAAGTTATTCGAAACACGACTTTCTAAAAAAGTATCAATTTGTTCCAGAAATAATAACGCTAACCTTTTACGTAGGATGGATTTCTTGATCGGTCATAATTCATGTCGTGATTTCTATCAACTTTATAATTCATCGTCTTGCAATTGTACAGTCGATGCAATCGATTAATAATGCAATCCGTGATTTTGATTAGTTTTTCTAATCGTAAACGTGTGATAATATTAATATATACACTGTTCCTCGCAGTAATAAAATTGATGTATCGTATGTAAATTCGAACACACGTGTCTTTCACAATTTTTTTTAAAATCGATTGAAATAATCTTCTCTTGATAAATTACTCTTTAACTTTAAAACTTTGAGTTAAAATACTTTCCCACGAAAAATCTTGACAAATTTCTAATTTTATATTTTTTAAAGAAAAAAAAAAGAAGCATTCTTAATCTTTTTAGTAAGTGAAGATAAAGAAAGTACAAAAGAAAATCGAGGCTCGAGAATTCCAGAGAATATAATTCTCTTTGCAATCACTTTCAAATCGAACCGCCATTCGAAGCGCCGGAGAAACTCGTGAGAGTGGAGAAGATCGAGAAGACCTGGCATCCCCGGTGGTCGATAAGCAACCGCGCTGCGACCTAGGCCTCAGCGAAGTTGCGCTGGTCCGGTTCGAGTCTGACCAGCTGACAGCTTTCTCTCTCCCCCACTCTTCCCTACCCCCACTCCTTTCACTCTTCCCCCACTCTTGGATCGAAGCCGCCGCAACGCTCGTCACGACGCTCGCTGCTTCGGTTCTCTTCCTCCATCCCTCCTTCTTTGTCCCTCTCACGATTTCCTGCTTCTTCCATCTACACTTCCATCGAGGAACCCCCCTTCAGGGGGTAGATTTCACGGCCGACTGACACTTGTTGCATCTATCAAAGCATCGACCAATGGCCAGCTATTTTTCGGTATATCGATGGTATCTCGTCGCGACCCGGGAAATGTTCTGGACCTAGTTACGGATAAACTCATCACCCGTATCCTAGTTATTTATGGCGTTGATCGTACGGGTCAGGTCGACGAAACCTCGGTGACGGGATAAGTTGTGTCGTTCCTTTATGGATCGTCTTCGCGCAGTAATCCATCTCGACATCATGAGTCGAGACAAATTTTATACCACTTTCGTCCGAGCATGGATATGCGAATGAGAGATGTAAAAAAGCTCTATAGTGAGGGGGCCAATAGTTTGCTGCGTATATACTGTTCATCAAGTCGAGCAATCATGCGAACTATACATATATGTATATAGGTAGTGTGTTGCATGTCTATATTTAGTCTGATATATTCATACGAGTTAAAATATAAGCTAATAATGATTCGCGTACTGTCCCAGAACTTGTATTTTATCTCCCATTATTTGTTGAATTAAATAATGGAAATAATTTTCAAACTGTTGATAGATCGTACATGATGGATGGACTGTTTGCGGTTAACAATTATCGTATTTATAAACGAACCGCAAAAAGTGACGGGAATAATGATGTTTCATATAAGCATAATTCACTTATCATTTAATTTTTATTACCAATTGTCTACTAATTGTCTTTTTTTCCTACACATTTTTCCTTTTAAAAATTAATATTTTAACCCTTTCAAAAATACTAACACATACGTTGAAAAATTTCGAATTACAAATTTTTTTTTTTTTTTACGATTTACAATTTCCATTTATACATTTTACTTCGTATTCTCCTAATTTCCTTCATGTGATAAAACACACTTAAAAATTAGATCGATCTCGATCGATGGAGATCGCGATGCCGGTCTCCATCGTGGGCAATCATCCCGGGAGAAGCGCACGATCGAGCTGAATCGAGAGGAAAGGGTAACCTTCCAAAGGATCCGTCTGCCCGCGGCCAACGTATGGGGTTGATATCGACCGTTCGAGATACTTCCCTCGCCCCACCCCTTACGGTGCAAGCATCCCCCACCATCTTGCAACTGCGTATCTCACTCTAACCGCCGGTGGTAGCGCTACCCTCTCCGTCAGTTTGGATTTTCGAGCTGTAAGCACGAGCCGAGCGAACGAGTGTCATTTCGGCCCGGGATGCCATGCCCGAGGCCGCCGGTAATTCCTCCGGGAAGTCGTTCCTTCAACGGGCGTCGAGCAAGGTTCTCCGCTGGTTACGCCGCTCCCTGCGGACGAGCCACCAGGTGATATGATATATCTCGTGCCATTGTGTCCTGCATGCTGATCACACTCGTCTCTCCTATATATCTAAAGTGTATACTTAATCATGAGAGTGAAACGACCCTTCAACGACCATCTTCTTCTTCTTCTTCTTCTTCTTCTTTTCGAGGGAAATTGAAAGTCATTAGTGAACTCGTTCGAGTGAGTTGTACGAAATCGCGACGTTCCTTCATCATCCATAGGAAAATATATATATATATATAAGAATGTTGGCATATAAGAACTCTTCTGTGATGTGTTTTCTTTTTTTTTTATTCGTATTTATATTAAGCTGATAATTTCTATATCTGCAAGGAACGGATGAAATTCGAGCTTTTATTTTACTTTCGTCGAGAATGACGATGGGACGAACGAAAGATGGGAGAGAGTGAGAAGAGTTAAAGTTTTTTTCGAAGAAATGTTATCGCCTCGATGTGAAATTACTCTCGCTTCACTGGGTCCAAGAGGATTCAATGGTGGGGATGACTCTCTGAACATATACTATATACGCAAGAAATGCTTGAGCGGATGACGAATAAATATTACACATACTTCGGTTCTTCGGTTATTGCTGCAAGCATTCGTAATAATTTTACTAATAAAAATTCATCGGTTCATTTTTTTTTTTTTTAATGAATTATATTTTATGAATTTATTTGAATTATCAAGTTCAATCAATTAAATGAAAGCGTGTGAAAGAATTTTTCCAGTGTGACATAATTTAAACGCATCGAGGATCGAGCATTTCCAAGATAAAAATTTATGCAGTATTGAAAAGTATGTATCAAGTCGTTCACTTATTTTTTAATTCTATAAATTTTTTTTAATTGATCCATTCTCATTTATTTCGTTGTTTTGATTTTGAAATGTTTTCGAGCCGATATTGAACGAACGTTTTTTCTTTTAATTTTTTTTACTGATGTATCGAACCTGTTGATATATTTCATAACGTAATGGATTTGAATTTTTAAGAAAGATAGAAAAAAAGTTGGTGCGAAATATAAATTCGATTTATCATCATTTATTAACAATAAATTCTGAGAACTTTGTAATAGTACATGCTTATCGAATTAAATTAAAATGACGACTCTTCATCATAAATTAACCCGCGTTAGAGATCATTAAATGACTGCTGGCAGAATTATTAATTTCGCATTTTCCCAGTAATAGCCATACTGACGTTTCCCCTCTCTTTCATTTCTCGCAGTTTAATTTCCATTATCGTAAAAGAATTCCAGTATAAAGCAAACCAAGACGACGAAAGGTGCAAATGAAACCAGTGAAAGGGAATGTTCCTGAAAGTAAATCGGCCTTGGTGAAATACCAATTCGATTTGTGAAATATTTTCGTCTTTTAGTTTCGTAATTTTAAAATATATAATTAGTGTGATTAAGCGTGTAATTATAAATACAATATTTAAAATGAAAATTCAAAGTATTTGCATTAAAGGGATTATTTCATAGTAACATTTCTTCGATATATATATAATATATATATATATATATATATTAGGAGAAAATTAACGATAAACGATGTTTTACATTTTTTTAATTCGTTTTCTTTAATATTATTCGTTTGCCATATACTCGAGCTCTTCTTGCGGATATATATATATAATCCTTATTTCTTTCTTAGCAGGGAAACCTGCTAAGAACCAGTCAAGTCAAACTAAATTCATAGCAAAACATTGACCTTTAAATTTCTTCGAGTGTTTGGATTCTCGATAATCCGTCTTCGTTCTTCTACCATTCCGTCTTCGTTCTTCTACCATTCTATACAGCCGGAGTCAATAAAGATAAAATTTCGTGTCTCTAACTGCTGTGTGCTCGTGACTAACCCGGAGTTTATGATAAATAAATACTGTGTTAGGTTATGTAATGAATTCGTTCGCGCCAATGATTAATTGTCGTTTGTTTGGTGGGAGTACAAAGTAATGCTCTGTTATAAACTTTTACCGCCCGAGCACATAATTGCACCGTGCTGGAGCGAATCAATTGAAAGCATCAGTCGCATGCAGGAAAAGAAGTTGTTTTTCATTTGTATGTTAAATGTCATGATAGAAATTACTCTGCAGTTTCGTTAGAATGTTTCGCTCGTAGATTGAATCATAGATTTATCTTATTTTTACTTGTTGCATTCAACGTTTTTGTGCATTGCAAATTTCTTTTAATGCGCAACACGCGAATCTCTGAAAAGGGAAGAGTAAAGAAATATAAATAAAGAGTATAAAATGTAAATTTCCAAACAAGCTTGTTACACGATAGAAATTTTTATCTCAAGTTGAAATTAAATAAATTTAACAAATTTTAAAACCCGACATTTTTGAACCCGATAAAAAATTGTGAAAAAAATTGTAAATATTCATACATTTCAATATTTTTGACACTATTAAAAATAAAAGGATAATTCTTATTTTGAGATGTTGTCGATAGAATTCTTTTTTTAGATCTTCGGTAAACGGGAAGTAGAATGGGATCAAAATTTTTTTCGATCTTTGATAAAACAATTTCGTTAACTCTTACGATACGAACTCGAGTTAAACATCGTTCATTGAATCGTTCGTGCATAAAACTTGAATTAAAGCTCTCACAGGTTTCTTTTTTACCTTTTTCTTTCGCTAGAAACGAATTTCTTTTTCTGGTATTTTTTTTTTTTTTAATTGAAATATTATTATAATAAAATACATTTTTGTCGAATATTCTTCGCATGATTTTAAAGTGTAAACGTGATATCTTTATCCTAACCTCTATTTCTCTACAACATTTTCCCACGTCAACTTTCAATTGTTTGTAATTTTTTTTATTTTCTTAAAAATATACAATAAAATCGAGTTAGCGAGTTAATTATCGAAGGGAATAAATATTCTGAGAATTATTGAACAACTGTTGTTCCACTTTCAAGAATTAGCGAGTGTGACATTTAAGCAGAACAGAAAATACAATGGTTTCAAGTGCACTATTATAATTGTAAAACTTGATCTCATTTTCCGTATTGTCGAATAATATTTACGCTTGTCGAAATACCCGTGTAAAGTGTTAACTTTATTCGATATAAATTTGAAAAGTTTTAATTAATAAAAATTAATAAATTACGTATCGTTTAGAAATTGCATTGTTTTATAGAATAGAATAAAAAAATATATAATAAATAATTACGAATAGAAATAACAACTTTTTGTAACGAACTTTTTTTTATCGATATTTTAATTACTTTGAACAGAGAACAAAAAAAACATGATCACCTTGATGAGCTATGACAGTTTGATGGTTTCATTTATCGTTTCCAAACTTTTGACCGACTTACTGCGCGCATTTTATATCGACTCGATCGGTAAGATAAAACTGTCATTTTCTTTTCTATTAAATGTATATTATTATCGGCCAGAAAATATATATAACGTTCATATGGTAGCATTTAACTTGTCGACATCGAACGTGTTGAGTGTCTCACCTCCACCGAAGAACAAATCGATATTACGCAACTATCTATAACAATAATGCAAGCGCTCGGATAGTGCTTAGATATTCGATCAAGTACGATGGATTTATTTAAGAAAGCATATTGAGATTAATTGAATTTTTGACTCGGGATCTTTCCGTGGAAATAACGTTAGAATTAATGGAAATTCGCCACGATATTTCAACCACCGATTCTCTTCGATCCATCTACTACTTGCAATACAATCGCTTAATATGATTCACAATGAAGAGATAATTTTTTTCAACGCGATCTTTATATTTACAACCGAGTGTAAAGAATAAAATTTCTTTTAATATCTCTGTTGACATTTCATCAGTGGAGCAACGGTCAGCGAAAAGGATAGATAAAGAAAGAGGAAAAGTGAAAGACGAACGTAGCTTTTAAATTTTCGATTCGTCCTACACTCTTCTATTCACGCTCGTGGCAGAGCCATTATCGAAACCGGTTAAGCCCAGTTTCTTTTACATCTGTCAGCAATAACAGGATTCATTCTTTCGATTTCCTCGCCAATAACATCGTCCTGAAAAAAAAAAAAAATATCCTTTCACTTCTTTTAATCGATTAAATTTCACGAATGTTTCCAAATATTTTCATCAAAAAAAAAAAAAAAAAACCAATAATCACGAAAAATCATCGATCCCAACTTTCCTCCAAAGTTTCTTCTCTCCCTCGACTCGTTCCATCCTGGACGTGTTCAGCGAACTTATTTTTTTGAAACCATGTTTCGGGTCAGGTCGACGGTCATGGCGCGGAAACGGGACCGGAACTCGACGAGGAGATGGAGAAGGTTTTCGCAATGGATACAGGAGAGAAGTTCGACGTAGCCCGACTCGGTTCCCCCTCAGAATCGGCTGGATCCGATCGAGAACGAGAACGAGGACCACCATCGCGTTATGGAGATCGTGACTTCAATCGTACGTGATCCCGCATACGTTTAAAGCGCGTTATCCTTTTTCAACCACCAACGAGCTTTTGCAACTTTTGCAACACATTCCAATAATTCTCTCCTCGGAGGCAGAAAAATAGTTACGTAAATCAATTTTTCTTGGGATCCAAGGTCAAAACAATTCTACTTTCCGATGTACCGCGACATTATTTATTCTTTATATAATATTACGAAACAGTGGAGGAGAGGATGCTTGCGATTTTTTTTTTCTTCTTCCTTTTTTCTTTCTATTTTCGATGCCCCACACACGTGCCTCGATTACGTAAGATGGAATAATTATTTAACCAAAGTTTTGCTCGCGGGAGAGGAATATTCTCGCTCGAATATTGCCGTTGTTTCAGAGCATCGGAAAAGAAGTTACCCCCATCCGCACATGCCCTTGAAAAGCCTTCATTCCAGGTCTATGCGACGACATCTTTCACCGTAAGTTCACAAGCAAAAAGATATCGAAGTGGTTCTTAATAAATTTTGATTCTTGTATTTCTTTTTTTTTGAGAGAGAGAAAGTATCGTGATACAAAAATATAATTTCTGTGAGATTGGAAGAATTCTTTTGAGTCATTTTTCGTCGATCCCCCCCTCTTTAAATTTGTGTTTACATTTTTGTGTATTATAAGAAATAAAAAAAAAAAAGTGAAATTTCCTCTCCGATTCTTCATTCCGTCCCAATATAGATACTTTTCTCTAAAGAAAATTTAATTGGTATTCTCTCTGATCAACTTCGTCTCTTTTTTTGATAAATAACCACGCAAATTAAAATAGTTGATAAAATGTGACGTTCACAGCGAAGGATCGACAGCGGAAGCCGGGCAAGAAGAGGAGAACGGACAGGTTGTAACAGGAAATGGCGGTGGACAACACGAGCTGGACACGATGGACAATGGATTGTCGCCGACGAGCGTGCAGAACGCCGATGACGAGACCACGGAAGAAATGGAGAATGTTGTCAGCAGCGAGAGCGAGGCGCCGATTTCGGAAAGGGCCGCTTCCTGTTTCAGCGACAGCCCGACCGTTGGCAGCCCGCGCGTGCAATTCGAGAAGATCAAGGAGGAGGAGGTGCACAGTTTCAAAAAGGACGAGGTGGTGCCGAGTTGCCTAGTCGGTGCGTCCGCGAACCACGATGAGGATCGAAAGTGTCGAAGGCATCAGAAACACGAGCACAAGTAAGTCGTATGATGATTTGTTCGTTATTTTCTTTATTCCCCCCGTTTTCGTTTCGGTAAGATTCGTGCTATCGACGCCTTCTTTATCGATTCTCGATCGATAATGACGAAATATCTTGGCAAAAAAAATGTAGAAAATATTTTGGAAGGGATGAGAATTGATAAAAAAGTATCCATTTTTGAACATGGTTTAAGAAATTTTGCTTATTTTTTTCATTTGATTAATTTTAAGATATTGCGAACGATTTTTAACGATTTAAATGCGAATAAAATCTGTAAGCGCGTGGAATATTGCGGAATTAGTTAAAATGTCAAAAGTGGAGAAGAAGGTAGGTGGTATTCGTTAAAATATTTGGTGTTAAAATTGTTTCTTGCTTTTATCTCGTTTCTCATTTGTTTAGAAGTGGTGAGTAACAGGGAATGCGTCGTATTATAATATGCAAAAATATTTAAAACATCCCAAGTATTTATTATTCATTAGGAAGTATTTAATAAATGAAACAAATCCCTCTTTTTTCCTTTATTTTTCTCTTTATGAATATATGATTTTGCATAAATATCTGCGAGTCTAGCCATAAAAATATCTATTACCAATTATATATAGAGGTTCTCAACTTTTACACAATAAATAGGATATAGTCGGTAAAATCAGTATTTCAAAGTTCCACTGTGAATTATTAAGATAATTTGGAATTTGAACATCTGTAATATCGTATACTTGGTTAGTTAGTAGTTATTGAAAATCGAGCCAATTGTACGTGTTGTTAGAATTGAATTCTTGAAAGATATAAAATTTAGGATTTAGAATCACTGGGCTAGAAGGACATTTTTATAATATTTTAATTATAGGTGTAATATAAAAATTAAAATGTTTACATATTTGCTTTTAAATGTCTTATTACACAATATCGTATCTTTTATAATTTTACGCTTAAAAGCATGAAAATGCATAAAATTATTATTTTCTTGTCTCTTTAATATATGTTGATAATACATGATTTCCAAGTATTCCAAAATTCTATCAAAACGTAAAAGAAATATCCTACATTTATCAATGAGATAATTAAAAATCTTTTCTTTTGCAAGATTTCGACAATAGCTTATTAAAGTATCAAAAAAAGAATTTATAACAAGCCGACCTTGCCTCGTGAAATGAAAGATAATATTCTCGACTAATTTTCGTAAAGCACGAATCTCGATTGAACGCATTCTATTTCAACAATTATCTACACGAAAGTATTGACTGCTGTTGGATAAATGTAGCGAAACGTAAACTCAATAATTTTAATGGCATGTTCATAAGTTTCAAAAGTTGGTTAATGCGTAATTGCTGTAACCAGAATAAAGGGTAAGAATGTTGAGATATTATTATTTTTGTTCTCTGAAATCTAGGAAATTTCTTATGAAATAAAATATAAATAAGCAAACATTTATAAATTTTCTAAAATAAGATAAAATTAGACTTTAGAGGGTAGTAATATGAGATGATATAATTTTGAAAGAAATAAATTATGACAAATATCAAGTACGATATTAACGCAAAATAATTAATTTTGTTTTAAAATAATACGTGTAAATTCCGCATAATGAATCCATAATAAACATGACAAATATTACACATTCGCTGCAGTCATTTTATTTAAGTTTTGTCGTATTGTTATATACATATATATATATATAAAAGCATGATACTTTTATATCTCTATTTTCTCTCATATTTCTATCTCATTTACTTTCGATATCACCGAATACATAGAAATATTTATTCGTTCAAGTTCACATTTAACCTCATCCTAACCTAACTTTAGGAACAGCCGTAAGTAGACTATACATAGTCGAGGACATAAAATTCCAGTCCCTTTTTATCTTTGTCGATAATAAAGAGTGACGGTTGGCAAAGCAGGACCGAAAACCTAATATTTAAAGAAATTTATTTTGCATTGTTATTAAATATTATGTGAAACACGTGAAATTACTCGTTTCGTTGGGTTCCCTCTCAGTTATATACGTGGATACCGTGAGAAACATATGATGATTAAATACTGTACTGTACATGTTTTATTATCGTCCTATTTTCGTATTCTTGAGCATAGGCGCGTGCTGCACATGCGCGAACGAATCCGCGCACGGATCGTTTCGAAATTTAACCTTTTCGAAGTTGAGTTTTAGTTCGTTAGAAAATAAAGCGCGTCGAGGCCAACCAGTGACAGTTTCGATCTTCCTCGAGACGCTTTGAATGTAAGATAATTGTATAATATTTAGAATTGCGAACTAGTTTACAATTACTCTCTAATATTATGGCCTTCGGCCAGAGATTTACCTTGGTTCCTTTGCATCAAACAGTCTGTTGTTCGAGGCCATTGTTTTCGCGTTGTTCTAATTAATTTTCATCGCGTCTTCTTTCTTCTTGCTTTCTTGATCATATCAATAGTGTGACGAATGTGAATTCTTGTTGTTCACAATCATGTATTCGAGTTTCGATTATCGTCCGGATCGCTACAGCTTATATATCGGTCGTTTAGGACAAGTCAAAAAGTATACATATTTCTTCTCCATTTCGATTAATTTAATTTAATTAATAATAAAATATGCACGTGGTAATGTTTTTCTTGTGTATCTGATAACATCGATTTTTAATTAATTTTCCTTTCTGGCATCTTGTTAAACTTTTTAGCCAGACTCTTGTCACACTTTTTAACCCTTGTTATTTTTGTCCTATTCTTCTATTATTTATTTATTTCGCAATTAAAAGATAATAAAAAAAATAACTTGAAAAATAATACTCTTTATAATTATTTATTGAAAAGAAAAAAAAGTTTATACAAAATATATCGCTCGTTTCACTAATATCAAGTAAGTAGTAACAATTTTCGACCGATTTGTCGAAATTGTTTAATAAATATTAAATATTATTTTTACGTTTATTAATTAATTAAAAAAAAGAATTTTTAATTAAATTTTTACACCTGAGACCAATGTTTACGACACATTGGTGTGTTGTAATATATCGATTGATAAATTGAGCTGTCCCTAGAGCTACTAAAGAATTATAATAATGAACATTTTTCAAAAATACATTTTATACGTCACAATCACGCATCTGTTCTTTAAATACTAGTCGTTGAATTCTAGACTAGGCTTCATTTGTGATTATCATTATGTTGACGGGCAAGATCATTTGCCAACAAAAACCGCATATACAATTCTGGCAACACTTCGAGACAAGAAAGTGCAGCTATTATTTGTAGCAGTATACCAATTCCTTCGCAAAACATAAATTATTCGACTAAATTCTGAAACAATTTTGAAGCTTCTTATAGTAGATATTTATTCTCTATACGCTAGAGATATACGGGGATTCGAAAACGTAATTCGGAACGGATCGGAAAAATTCGGGCAAGTTCGGGTTAGATTTCGATAGTTACGCATTGCGCAGAATCTTGACTCTCGCTCGGACTGTGCAAGCATAAACGGACAAATAATAATCGAATACAATCGATTTGAAACATTGAAATTTAGCTTGATCAAGAGAAGATAAAATAGAGAGAAGTATAATTTGTGCTTAGTCCTTTATATATATATATATATAGAATTATTGAAAAGGAAAAGGTAAAAATAACTAGAGAATATAATATTAGGTTATTTATTTTCTCGATTTCAAGACTTAATCAAAATTGTACAATTTCTAATTGTAATTCGTGTATATTGAAAACGTCAACTAGAGATATTCTTCTTGAATCATCCAATGAGCCAAGCGGATTTTCAATTCTTCTCTGTTTTTTTTCTTCTTTTTTTACTAGCCGTCGTATTCTACGGTGATCGTTATCAACAAAGATAAAACAAGTATAGAATTTTATGTCCTTATAACAGTTATACACCTCGCATCTAGTCCCTAAGGCTGTTGTGGACCTCTGACGAATAAATATTACATTTTACGAGTAACGGAACATAATCTGGCGGATAATTGTAAATTGCAGAAGACATCATCACAAATCGCGAAAATACTCGCTCCAAGAGGATCCACAATGGAGGAAACGATCGGGAGCTGGCCTCCCGGATGGGCCGGGTGTGCTTGCAAGGCGAGTGAGCGTACAACCGGAAGAGGCAAGCACCCTTCAAGAGCTGGACATCGACGACCTGGAATCGCACAGAAGCGACGATCCCCGTGGTATGAGGCGTCACAAGGCGGCCCACTCGACGGTCCAGATCGGCCGGAAGAAGGAAGGTGGCATACCCCATGACACCTTCAAAAAAATGTACGACCATTCTCCGCACGAGGTGTTCGTCCAGTTGGACGAGCTGTACGGGATCGGCGAGGAAAGGGAGTGGAGGGAAACGGCCAGATGGATCAAATACGAGGAGGACGTCGAGGAAGGAGCGGACAGATGGGGCAGGCCCCACGTAGCTTCCTTGAGCTTCCATTCCCTGTTGAATCTCCGTAGATGCCTCGAGACAGGTGTAGTTCTCCTCGATCTCGAGGAAAAGGATCTGCCCGGCCTGGTATATAGGGTGGTCGAGCAGATGGTGATCGAGGAGCTGATTCTACCGGAGGATAGGCCGGTGGTGATGAGGGCGCTGTTGCTTAGGCACAGGCACGTTCACGATCACGATCGTGGATTCCGTTTCGGCGGGAAACGGAATTACGCCAGCTACACGAGCTTGCAGGTAATTGTTCTTGCCAGAGACACCGAAACACTTCTTGGTTCCTTTTCAACGTTTATTATTAAGTGTGAGCTGCTCGAGCACAGTCGCTGTTATAAAGAAATTAAGTCGTGACGATGAATGTGCTGTAGCCTCGTTCGATATTCGAATATATCGCACGGTTCTCGATTTTTCCCCGAATTGATGAAAACGTTGAGGGAACGATTAGGAGAGGGGAAGAAGAAAAAAAAAAAAAAAAAAATGATACGTGCAATATGTGTTTTTTCCGATGCATATTAGTCGTGAAACGTTACCACGCACGTAACGTTGGATCGATATAATAATACCAGTTTGCTGCTAATTGCGATATTAACGATATTACTTATTACGACGTGGTAAATCGATTTTTAAAAGCTACTCACGTCTTTTAATCCTTTTCTCAAGCCTTTTTTATGAAATTATAGAATTGTTTGTTTGCGCTGAAAAGAATTGTTTTTTTTTTTTTTTTTTTTTTTTCTTAATATCACTAAGAAAAAAGTTTATCGTGAGAAATAATCAATAGAAATCCGTAGAGACGGGAGGCCTGACTGACGGTGTGTCCTAATGTTGTTTCCACAGTCCGTCTGTCTGGAGGAAGAGGACGCTGCGCGGGAAGCCTCTGAGAACCATGTAACCCAACATGTAAATCTCTCGTTTCCCGACTTAAAAAACGCAGAATTTACAACTTTTACCGCTAGTTTACGGCTTGCCCACCATCGATCATGTACAGAACGTTCAACGAAATTTTAAGAAACGATTCTCTTCGTGCCGAAATAAAAGGGACGAAAATCAGAAACAAAAAAAGGAAGAAATTGTATTCTCTGCTTCGTTTTTTTAATTTTTGAAAATCGACGAAAATTAAAAATATATCCTGTAAGCGTTAAAACAATTATATTCGATTCGATTTTTTCGAATCGTTAATAATTAAAGGACAAAGACAATTTTTAATTAATTTTTTATTTTTGATTTTTTGTCTGATTTTACTTTCGAAGAGTCGTTTCTTAATTTTTTTGAACATCTGTAGCTAAGCACCCTGTATACATATATAGAATGTTAATATATTCTTTAAAAAGTCTTTGGAAAATCGGTTCTAGATACCTAGAGACAAATATAAAATGGAGAGAAAGAGAGAGAGAGAGAGAGAGAGAGAGAGAGAGAGAGAGAGAGAGAGAGAGAGAAGT